ACTAAACATTGAGATGTCCTCTAGTGAAGCAACCACAGGAAACACAGTTTGGATAGATGGGGCCTCTTCGAAGTCCAAATTGATATCCACAAGGTTGTCCTCATTTGAGTGTTCAACCCTACTTGATCCATCAACTGTAGCTGCTCCATCAACCCTAGAAGCTCCATCATCTTCATCACCCTGGTTGATATCCACAGTCTGCTTGGGTGTAGATTTTCTTTTTCTTTTCCTAGGTTGAAACTGAATGTACAAAAATGAAAGAATAACACATAAGTGTGTGCATACAGAATGTACAAAAAAAAAGAAAGAATACCACATAAATATGTATATTATGTGCTAATTTACCAGATTTTCTTTGTTATTAGGATCATCCGGGCACCTCCTAACATTATTCCCTTCTTTCTTACACTTTGAGCAATGCATCTTAAAGTGTGTTCTTGACACTTTCACTCCGTCTTTAGTTAGCAATTCATCAACAACTGATTTCCTCCTAAGCTTCTTTGGTCTTCCACGTCTGGCAGAATACACTCATATATCTTCAAGTACATTTTCGTTGTGTAACATGGGTGCACATAATCATCTATTGGCCCTTTTCCAAACTTCAGCCAAATAGCACACACAGCGTGCCTGCAAGGGATGCCAGTAAGTTCCCACACCCTGCAAATGCACATTTTCTTCTCCAAATCTACAGCATGTTGGGTACCACTCATCTCAGTAATCTCAAACTCATTATCACCACATTGATAACCTATCAAACCTGCTGCAAACTTCTCAATTTCTTGGATCTTTTTAACTATTCTTGGGAAAAGATTGGAGGTCCATTTCTTTGCCTTTACCCTACTTGATTTTTTTGTTAATAGCAGTTTCCTTATGGATTCAAAGCATACCAGAATGGCCTGTTGTCTTGCATCTAAGATCACACCATTGAAACACTCACATATGTTGTTTGTGAGCATATCAGTTTTGGAGTGTATAGAGAAATGAGACCTTGACCATTCTCTAGGATTTTTATCTGCCAGCCACTCAAATGCCTTTTGATCTATTTCTTTTACCTTTGCAAGAGCAGACTTAAATGAATTAATTGTACAAGTGATGCACACTAATTAGTAGTGCATAATTACATGTTTTTATGTTTGATTTATGTTAATTGTTTGACGTTTTATTTAGTTTGTAAACATTTATGTGATTTCAGTTGTAATTGTATTTTAGTCTATTTTTGTCAGTTGTAAAGTTTAGTTAGGATTTATGGTTTGGAAAGGAAGACTTTGAAGTGAAGAAAAGGAAGATTTGGCTGCCCAGGAGCAAATACCCGACCGGGTATAATACTTGACCCGGTCGGGTAAGAAGTGAAAAACGAAAATGCAAAGAAAGTGCATGGCCCGGTCGGGCCCACTACCTCACCCGGTCGGGTGAGAAGTGACCGGGGACAACCCGGTGTGCAAAGATCACCCGAACGTGTAGAAAATCCAATTTTTGCACTCACCCGGTCGGGTCCCCTACCCCACCCAGTCGGGTGTGACTTGACCCGGACACTTTAACATGCTGAAGATCGCCAGAACGTGGAGGATATTTGATTTTGACATGCACCCGGTCGGGTGAGTACTTGACCCGGTCGGGTACCCGGCCAAAGGTGTTGAAAAACACCTATAAATAGCACTCTTTTTCTCCTCTAAAAAGCATCCCTTCTTCCATACTCTTAAGCTCAGTTTAGAATAGCATTTCTTTATATTTTTCTAGCTATGTTTAGTCTCCAAATGAGGAGCTAAACTTCCAATCTTGGTGTTGCTCTTGAAGCTTGTTGATTATTAAAGTTGTGAGTTATTTTCTTAACTTCTTTCCTTGAATATTAATTAATAGTTCTTTCCTTAATACCATCTCTATATTAATGTTGGGGAGTGTTGCTAAGATGACAATTAGTTAACATCTCGACATTAATTAGAATGATATTTTCTTCCTCTATATTAATATTGAGAAGTGTTGCTAAGATGACAATTAGTTAACATCTTGATATTAATTATAGTAGGATTCATCTTCTTTAATAATATTCTTCCTTGAATATTAATTAATCCCTACTCATATTTCATATTAATATTTTGAACATTATTACTTAAAGGATCAACTAGTTTTGTTTCATATATTAATTATTACTAGAAACGATCAACGAACCGATGGTTAATCGTTGATGGTTTCACAAGTAAGTAACTTCGGTTTATTAATGCACGGTCGTGGTTAATAAACTTAAGAGGGATTAATTTTGTTGGTTAAACCGGAAACGCTTGTGTTGAGGTTATCAATCTCAATTGATTTCATCAAGGAGTTAGAAAGATTAAATGCTACTATTAAATCGGTATAAGGCGTTGTTCTATATTTGATTAATAGTAAGGGTTATTAATGAACGGTTGTTGTTAATAACTACCCTCGATGAAGTGGATATAATCCCTGATTGAGTATTCGAGAGGGAATAAGTTATAGATATAACAATGATCGACTAAAATATATCAACAAGTGGAAAGTAGCAATGACAAGTCCTTTTTATCTTTGAATTAAATCTCATATAGGTTGTTCATCTTAGTTCTTAATTAAATTAAATCACTCAATCCAAATCCCCCCTTTTATTTACTAAGTATCATAAAAAGAAAATCATTCCTTTCCATGTGGATACGAACTCTACTACGCTATACTACGTATAAGTGTTAGTATTGAAAATTATTTTGACGCACCGTGACAAAGTGCTCGTCAACAAGCTCTAGCACATTCCCACAAAGTATCTTTGATTGCTTTACCAGCAAACCCAACCACCTTCATGTTCCCATGCAAATGACTTACATAGAATCTATGCTCAACTTTTGGAAACAACTCAGTCACAGCTTGAATGAGGCCTTTTTGCTTGTCAGACATGAAAGTGAATAAATTTTCATTGTCTTCTGTGATATCAACATCTCTTTTTATTAGATTCAAAAACCAAGACCAAGACTCCTTTGTTTCCCCCTCAACAATAGCATATGCCAATGGAAATATGTTATTGTTTGCATCTACCCCTACTGGCACTAATAACTGTCCCCTGTCATGTTTTTGAGATGAGTTCCATCAACCCCTAGTACTGGTCTGCAGCTTTTAAACCCTTCTCTAGATGCTTTTCAACACATATACATCCTTAAGAATCTTTTGCCCATCCTGCTCTATGCTTTCACTTAATTTAACAACACATGTACTTAGTGGATTGCTCCTTTTAATTTCAGCCGCATAACACCATATTTTCTTGAAGTAGTCATCCTCTTCAACTCTAAGTTTCCCTTTTGCCTTGCTCATTTCCCTATAAGTCTGCCTCTGAGTCACATGAAACCTTTCATCAGTGCATACCTTTTGTCTAAACTCTTTGTTCTTCCAGTTGGAGTGACTTTTGATCTCCATTAACCACCTGTTAGCAACCTTGGTTGAGTTTACCATCTTGTTGTGATACACCTAAGAGCACCCTTCATGTGTTTTGTGGTACTTTAGTATCCTCCAAGAGTGGGAATTTACTACCTTTCTGAGATTTATTCTCCATGGACAGTCTAAGTGCTTGCAGTGGACAACAAGTCTTGCCTTATCACTTTTTGCAAACTTCAAGTCCTTACCAGTTTTAAAAGCATGATTCTCAACCGCTTCTTTGAATTCTTTCTTGGAAGCAAATGTCATTCCCAGCTTGAATGTTGGATTTTGCATATCAGTCCGGGCACAGAATGTAGTCCACTTATCACGATCTGAATCAGAGTCATGTATGGAAGCATCATCTGAAAAATTTGGATCAGGGTCTACCAATGTTGGATGGCTTTCTATGTTTTCTTCTTCAGTGTTAGTGTGCAGCCCTCCATACTCAGCTGTTGGATCTATGTTATTGGAAAAATCAGTATCATCTTTACAAATGAAGTCCCCTAGATCAGAATCTTCATCATCCCCAGAAAGTTCTTCTAATTCCTCACTGTAAGCACAATCACTACCTGAGAAGTCATCATCTACATCTTCACCTTCATCCACTCCATCTAATTCAACCCAAATCTCCACAAGTTTACCCAGATTTCCATTATTCACAAAGCCCCAAATCTCTGAGTCACCTTTCAATTCTTGTAATGAAGAATCTGAATAGGAAAAGATTCTTCTTACCTTATCACTGCAACCAAGTTCTTCTAGTTTCTCTTTCAGAACAATCAGACCAAACTCATCCACATCTAGATCACGAAATAAATGGCTAGTGCCTCCCCTGTAAGCAGGTCTAGCAGTGTCATGGACTCTTCCTCCGTACCACAACTTGAGAGTGAATGTGGTTTCACATGGGGCTGTTTAAAATATGCATTCAATGTGGTAGGTCAATCATTCAAAGTTTTACACACTAACCACATAATAAATACATACACAATACAAACACACAGCCCATTACATAAAGTAAAAAACTAAAAAAGGTAAGAGAATATGGTCCCATTTGTCAAATCCAAAAAGATAAAGGAAAAAGGAATCTGACCAGAGATAAACCATACCCTACCTTCTCCAACAGCATAAAAAACCCTTTGTGTTTGTATTTATAACTTCACCAAATTTCTACCCACATAATTTGTACAAACTTCACAAAATTAGGACGGACGTATTTCTTACCTTTCTGCTTGTCTTCAACACTCGTCCCTTCTCCATGTGCTTTGCGCCCCATTCCAATTGTAGCCACTCCAGTAGGTCGTGTCCTCATTCTCAGCTTACTTGCTAAGGCGGCTCCTCAAACCAGTTGTAAGGGAGCCGTAAATTTCAGGTTCTAAGTTAAAGGAGAGAGGCTTAGGTGATATCTAGTTAGCCGTTTCTCAGCCTCAGGGCACTTCTCAGCTGATCCGCTCCATACACACACACACACACACACACATATATATATATATATGTGTGTGTGTGTGTGTGTGTGTGTGTGTATTAGATTGAGATGAACGACGGATTATCGATGTCTTCTTTATATATAACATTTTAATACATATATTCAAGTATAAATATAATTAAATAGCTATCACCTATTATACATATATAATAGCCAGTTGTTCTTGTATTAATCACTATTCCGACGTACCGTTCGGGAAGTCTTTGTGTAATCAGTAAATTGCTTGATACAAGTGGGCTCTTGAGCATTATTATTCTTCAACTTTTATATTTCCTTATACATTTGATTTACGATCCATTTCCGGAAATATCCAAAGTTTGTGTTGGGCTTTTGGATCTACGGGACTTAACCTCAACATTGGCGCCGTCTGTGGGAAACTCTGAACAAAAAGTCTTCCCAAACCAGCTAGTTTACCCAAAAAATCAACATGCCGTCATAATGGTCAGAATTACCTCTCATCACACTGGTGAAACCTCAAGAAGACGCGGGGAAAGCCGGGCAACGGACCATTGGCAAGTGGCGAAGTGCATTAAATGCTAGAGTGTGACATCAGCAAGTGGGAGGATGGGCACCCAAGTGGCTGGATTTGCGACCAAACAGCAAGGAGCACCTCATACCCCCCCTCGTTAGTATAAATAGATGGATTAATCTCATTGTCCTCTCACCTTTTTTAGCATGGTCCTGCACATCTGTGATCAGCTTACGAGCGGCAGATAGAAGCATCTGACCTTCATCCCGATCACTGGCTAGGCGTTTCATCTCCTGTTCGGCTGCCAGGAAAGCCTGGTGATAGTATACTCCGGCCTACAAGCAATGGCAAACAAAATCAGATGAGATCTAAAAATCGGAAAATGTGTAAACAAAAAGAAGTTTTTAAAGGATCTATACCTTGAGAGCCTCTAGATGACCTGCCTCAACCAAGTCAGACCAATGGGTCAGGTTGGAAAAATTGGGAGAAGCCTTCAAGGAAGTACTACACCACATGGAGGCTGGTGTCTGCCCGAACACGTATCTTCCCTCTGCCCGGGGCTCCAGATTGGAGAACTCCACAAACATCCGATCATCGAACGACATATTAGTAAGAACTGGATTCTTGGGCTGAGGAGGGAGAACAGGTTTTTTCGGCTCAGCGTCTGGGCCGGTCAAATCAACTACGTGATCGATCGGGATAAGCTGGCTGCCATCATTTCCCCGGCGCCTCTTCCGGGCTTGTTCAGCATTTGTCTGGTCCCCAGCAACCATTTTTTCCTTGCCTTTCCCAGCGGAGGCAGACAGAGTAGTGGTAGGTGTGGGATGTCGAGCGGCAGCAAGAGGAATCACACCTGCAAAGAAAGAAAGCATAAGGAACTGAACTGAACGAAGACCAATCGGGCTAAAAATGAGCAAACTTACCAATTCCAGCGGCCAGCATCCTGTAAGAAGTAATGAAAGATCGAAGATTTCTAGAACCTCCCAGATGCAGAGATTCGGATTGTGAAAGAAGAATAGCATCCAGCATAGGTTCAAAATCCCGAACTGGGTAAGCATTTCACCGATCGAGAAATGGAAGCGGAACGCCTACGCGGACAAAAAGAAACTGCTCTTCCCAGTTGGCCGGTGCGGTGGGGTTCTCCGTAAATAGCTGACGATCGGCTCGAGCCACCAACTTCAAGTACCCGGTGGTCCAGTAGGGCTAATAGCAGTAATGATACAGGAATAAATCAACATTTGGTGTGATCTTCAGTTCTTGGCATCGAATGATAAAACCATTCAGAAAGCGGTAGGTGCTCGGTACGAACTGAGCGGGGAGTACAGAGATCCGGCGCAAGAATTCCACAATAAATGGATGAAAAGGGAAGCGGAGCCCAGCAGCCAAAGCATCAAGATGAACAAGCACGTGCCCCGGACGGTGCCTCATCGGGTGCTTGATAAACCCTGTCACGCCCTGGACCTATCCGGACACGTCAACAACCCGCCGTACAATATGAATAGTCAACCGCAGTCCAATTCATCCATATCATACAAGGCGTCTCGAATATCATTCACACATAAGTCATCCATAAACATATATAATAAGTAATTGAATACGCAGCGGAAATCATAGTTTGGATACAAGTGCCACACGGGGCAAACACGAGCACGCAGGCTCCATAATGAAAAACAATATCCATGAGCATGGTTTAAAATGTTTAAAATCAGAATGGAGGAAGCAAGAACCAAGTCTTCCCCTCCGAGATGATCGCCCGATCAACAAGCACAGGTAGCAAGCTCTAGCCTCAACCTGAAATGGTGGTGGGACGCCCCCCCGAAAGGGGGTCAGTACTCTATACGGCTATAAAGTACTGGTGTGGATGGAATCTAATAGATATACAACAAGTATTTCAAACACAAGACCCTCAAATAGGGTGATAATATAATTCTAGGTCGTAACCCCAAGTTACCCCTTTTTAAAATATACTTACTTTATATATAAAGTCAAGTAATCGGCCCATGGCCCAAAGTTCGTTTTCAAAACATAGACCAAACCCCGTGACCCCTAGTCACGACAATACATAGGGTTCAACCCTAACACACATGTTTGCATTTCTCGAGTCCAACTCGACTACATCACCATGCACATCAATCACAAGTCAATTACTCCACCAATCTCCAACGTCATGTTCACCCATGCAATTCTAGAGCTCGTCTCAAGTACATCTCCTTACATGGGTTGAACCTAATCCTTATGTCTACCCAATGCAATTCTAGAGCATCGGGCTCAAGTACATCTCCTTGCATTGGCATAGATCCCAATTCCTAAGCACTCGCTATGCCTAGAATTGTAATATCAATAATCTATTTCGGGACATCCTTACAGACTACCTTATCATGATCTTAGCATCACATTACAACAATTTACTCACTTGAACCACAATCAAGTATATCACTTACAATCAAATCCTTACATTCAATTTCTTAACAATTACAAACAATCATTAACTAGTATTCCAATACTATTAATATTATTCCCATCAATCATATGTTTCATTTGTAAATCCCTTCATATTTAGAAATATGTAGCAGCAACTTAGTCATCCAATGTAATACACAAATAATCATTTATATATCTACACAATTCACACATGAGTAAAAATGTCTGTTTCACACAATAGTTCATTTAACTCCATTTTTATCAATATGATTTCCAAATCATTTGCAATTTCATTACTTATCTAATATATCAATATTTCATCAATAATCAGTCATTATAATCCATGAAAAACATTATTTAGGCATTTAGGTAATCTCATGCTTAACCTACAAGTTGTAAGCAACTAGATGTCGATCCTCACCTCAAATGAGCTTTAAACCTTTCCTTTTTAATCCAATGCTCAAAGCTTCGGCCAAGGAAGTTTGAGAACTGATTCCTTGCTTAGAATTGATGTTTAGACAGCCTCCTCAAGGTGCTAGTTCAACACTTATCCAATGATACAAAAACAGCCCCTAGAATGAGTGTTTTCCGACGAAAACGTTTCCTAACCTTTCAAGGTTTGTTCTAGGTTAGTATCTAACCTTTCCAAAAAATAAAATAACTTTATAACAACACTTTATACACCTCAACCAGTGTAAAATATCTCCTCAATCATTTATACGATTTAGACAATAGAAAGGAAGATTTTGGATTCAAACTTACTTTGAATACAAAATCGTATTCTGCGAGGTTGCGTTTCGTACGGACGATTTGGAAGACTAAAACTGCTCCGTTTTCTTCAAACCTCACGCCTATGGATTCCTCTTTTCGAGAGGTTTCAGTGGGCAACTCACACGCCTCTTTTGTATGAACAGAACTCGAGATATGAGTCGCACAAGAAGGCCAGCGCACTGGAAGTTCTCCATGCGGCCAGAATCTTCTCCCTCTCTTGCTTTCTTTCTCTTGTGCGGCTCTTATCTTCCCCTTATCTCTTGAGTTCGAATGAGGGGTGAGGGGAAGATATCTGATCCTCTCAAAACGTTATATAAACGTGTGGCTCCCAAAAATAAAAGGTTGGGTGTTTGATTCCAATCAAACATGGGATGGTCCTCCTCTTTTATTTCTCTTTTGTATTGTTTGAGCTCTCAACTCAATAGGTCCGCTCCATTTATGTGTTCTAACTTATCCTACCGGTTTTGCATGTGCTAGGAAGGTGTGGGGCGTACTCTCATGTCCCCTAATTAATTTGGGAGCAAAATATCTACCAATACATCCAAGAGTGGAAAGATGGGTCCTATCATTTTTGTCCTTTGTCATAAGATGTACTTTTGTACTCTCCCCAATTTATTCGGATCAAGTCAACCTCCTACTTCATATTATTGGTCTCTAATATGTGTAGGATGGTCCCAATAATTTATTTGATGTACAATTACAAAAGAAAACCATACTCCCATTATTTAGCCTAATAATGCCAAAGATGGGTCCATAGACATTTGTATTCTTCTCCAATCATTCCATCATTCGTTTATGATGTTAATATGCATTCTAGGATGTCATTCTAGAATAATTACTATTTTTAGCAGGTTAGGCCCAAAATAACATTTGGGCTGCCCGACCGCTCTTACATTGTACCGATGGGCTGTATATCTTTATTTAAGGATGTTGGGCCCCAATATGAGTCCAAATAGTAATATGATAAATCATACGTTCCGTAAAACTTTAATCGTTTTACAATTTTTCGAAAATAGGAGAATTCAATACATAAGCTTTGAAATTAAATTTAAATTTCTAGGACGTTCGGGTGCGGTGTCACAAACCCAACATAAAATTCCCTAGAGAAAGGTAAGAATTGGCGGATCTGCCGTTCGGCATCTTCAGGAAGGCATTGTCTTTGTTCCGGATGCGAGTGAAATGCAAAGGGAGGTGGGGTGGTCATTCGGGCATCCCCTTATTGTAGATGGCAAGATCATCTCCTGATAGGAACCCATCATCTGGAAGAGTTTGTTCGGTCGTTTTGAGGCAGAGGGTTTATTGGTGTCAGGTACTTGGGATGACAAGCCCCCGACTTTACTAACAGGGGAAGTTTTCCCTCTAGGTCGATGAATGAGCGGCATTTCTATTTCTTCTGAGGAGCCAGAGGAGAATGACATAAAAAACAGGGAGCTCGAATATACTAGAGAGAGAAAGCTTAAAGAGAGGCAAGAAGAAATTGAAGAAGCAATAGGAAAAACAAAAAAAGCACTTCTATTTATAAGTAAAATGACGCCCAAAACCCTAACACATGACAAACATGTGGCAGAATATGGTTGCGAGCAATCAGGACATATTTATGGTTATAATAGCATGCACCCCAAACGGTGCTCATTCCAATGATGACAGGTATGATTAATCTAAGTATCTTAAAATACCCCGAACGAGTACTATTTGAAGAACAAAAGATAAAGGAAGTATTAGCAGTTTGAGGGGGGGGCCTCATATTAGCTATTTTTGGGAAGAATTTTCTAAATGGTTTAAAGATAATGTCAAAATTATAAAGATACAGGACCCGGGCGACATTCAGTAATATGGACGACTTGTGGAATCCAGGATAATGAATTGGTGATGTCTCTATTGTTAGATGTGGGCAGGAAACAACCCAAATAGGGGGTCCTATCAACGGTTAGGTAGGACAAATGGAGCGTCAGAAACAAAAAAGCTCGAAAAACGACTAAGTCCTACAGAAATGTCTGAAGTCCGGACGGCAATCCAAAGAATGATAAAAAAGCTCGAAAAACGACTAAGTCCTATGAAACTGGCCGAATCCCGAATGGAAAGAAAATAAGGATCGAAGAAACACAAGAAAGATCCAAGACCTATGAAACTGGCCGAAACCCGAATGGCAAAGACAAAAAAGAAAGTAAATAAAATATCGGGCAAAGTAAATAGAACATTGGGCAAAAAAGATTAGATATATATTCATCGGCACTACTGGCCGGGAAATACAAAGTTCATTACAAGTAGGGAATTACAATAATCAAAAGTGGGGAATCTACCGACTAGACGTCTATTTATTAGCCTCATCCTCCTCCTCTTCTTCTTCGTCCGAGTCAGAAGGGGGTTCGGGATCTTTCCCTGCTGCACAATCGGCTGCACGTTGCAGGTCCCGTTGATGCTTTTCAAACTGGGCCTCAACAATGGGGACCGGGGGAAGATCGGAAAGCTCGATCGGTCTCCCCAGCTGCTCTTGAAGCTTGGTTAAGAAGGGGACTAAAATATGCTAACAGCCCATGACATAGAGAGATTTTGCCAGGGAGTCGTTGAACTGTTTATCCCGAGGATCCTGATCGAGCAGCTTCACGCCTTCCGTGCGCCGGATATCACCCCAGGGAAATTGTTCAAGATAAGCCCCGAAATTTGCTGGCAACTGCTGCCGAGCATACTCATCCTTGATGGCGGCGAATTCATCAGAAAATTTAAACATCTCCCGGACGGCGGACAAATCCACATTCACCTCAGTAGGACCGTCCAGGATGCGGGGTGTTGTTTCTTCAAATTTAACTTGAGCTGCCTCAGCAACAAAGACATTGGCTTGGGAAACAACTAGCTGAACACGAAGCCCCCCACCTCATTCTCAACCCTATGCTTCTCCTCAGCAAAGGCTTTCCGTTCAGCCTCTAGAGTTGTGAGAGCAACAACAACACTCTGCTCGACGGAAGTTTGGGCCACAATCAAGTCTCGTTCCTTGGCCAGCCGGGCCTCCCTCAGCTGCAAGCTGTATAGCCCCACCTACAGAATTTCGTTCGAAAACAAAAGATGAGATGATATAGAACAAATGATAACATATGAAACAAATTATGAGGGAAAACAAAGTACCTTCAAAGCCGCTAAGACCAAACACTCCTCTGCCTGATCGACCGGCAGTTTAGGGACGGTAAAGTTATTGAAGAAAGCGGAGGTGGACTAGACTTGGCTCGCAAAAGAGTCAGCTTTCTCCAAAACTTCATGAACGGGATCTGCCAGAGAGATCCGTTCGACCTGCCCAGAGAGATTAACAGTGTGAGTCTCACCCACATCTATACTGACATCCTGAGCAACCTGAAAGTGCTCAGCAAAATGATGCAGCTGATCGGACCCGAACCGGTCGTCGATCAGCATATCTTCAAGCTGATCCTGATGGGGAACCTGTTGAATGGGCTTCGGCTCCTGAACGGGCTGAGAGGACCCGACATCTTGATCAGTGGCGGTGGAGGGGTTGGCCTTGGGGTTCTTCTTGGATTTCTTCCGTTTTCCCACTCCACCAGCGGCTAACATGCGACTGTTGTCCATAGGAGCATCTGGATTGGGAACTGAAAAAATAAAAAAGGTAAAAGTTAGTACCGAGCGGCCTTATCATGTGGGAAACAAAGAGGAATGGAATGTTTCTCGCACGGGAAGGACCACCCAGCCCATGGCACTTGGTTTTCGGACAAGTAACCCTAGGAATACGGGCAGTACCTATCCCAGCCTTGACAAGCTGATCATGAGTCATGTACGTTATAATGTTGCAGATTTTGGCCTCCTCCACGGCAAAGACATCCTTACAAATCGTCTCGGTAAGAATCAGATCCGGTGACTTACGAGGGAAAGTGTTCCACTTATTTGGAATCAGACCGTCCGGGACGGAAACGAAGAAAAATCGCTCTTTCCACCCCTTAATTGAGGTTAGATTGCCCTTAAAAAGTATATGTTCCGTTCGGGCAGTTGCGGCTAAATACCCATGGGTCTGCTGGGGGCTACTTTAAAAAATTGATGGAATAATTCTAAATTAGGCGTAACCTTAGCGTCTACACAACGGCAAATAAAGCCAGCCATCATCCGAAGGAGTTTGACATGACCTGGGCTGGTATGATTTCGTAGAAATTCAGAAAAGAAACAAAAAATGGATGCAATGGAAATCTAAGCCCAGCTTTAACCGAGTCTAAGTGAACTACGACCATTCCAGGGTAATGGCGCATTGGGTGAAGCCCGGCCCACAAACGGAAGTCCACTGGGTATGGGATTAGAGCCGGAATTTGGACCCTATTGTGAGAAGTCAGCTTTTGCCGCCTTTCCCTATTCAATCTTAGGTCAATTCTGTGACGAGGAACGTCGCTCGGGGGTCCAGCCGCCATGGAAGCAAGTTGATCACCAAACTTCGCATCATCAGAATCATCATCAGAAGAAGAAGAGCCAACGAAAGAATCCTCCACCTCCGCCCTATTAGCCTCCGCCGCCTCATTTGTGCCTTCAGCAAAGGGGACGGGTATGACGTCCATAACGGCGACATCATGATTTTCCCCTTGGGAATCCATTTACGAATCAGAGGAGCCTGATCGAGGACACATATCGATCGAAGCAAAAGAATGGAGAAGAATTATTTAAGGGACGGAGAATACCTGAACACTCGAAAATTTGCTGAATCCTAGAGAGAAGGCAGAACAAAGGCACGAGGGAAATGGAATTTCGAAACCCGTATCCAAGAAATTCAAGGCCTATTTATAGCCTGACAAGCGCCGAATCATTAACCAACCAGAAGAAGACACGTCACCTGGACTATTTGAAAGGACACGTGTCGCATACGAGAGAAAAGGCTAGTAATCATGACGATTATGAAAAAAATCAAACAACAACCGCAAATAAGGTACTAATCATGATATGGGGAACCAGCGAATTCTGGGTCCCGATCGCCATTCGGCGTATAAGTTTTACTTCCCAATGCACTCACTACCGTTCGAGACATCGGAAGTGGGGGACTCATGTTGGGATATTGGGCCAAAGGCCCAATACCCGGGTCAAAGGCCCAATATATCCAGTCCAATAAATGCCCCGGAATCCAGAAGATGAACATACCCAGGGAGAAATATGTACTGAATGGGGTTCAGGTCAGCCAAGATACTTTGGCCAAATCAATGACGTTTCAACATGGCCCACCACTCCGATCGGGCAACGGACCATTGGCAAGCGGCGAAGTGCATTAAATGCTAGAGTGTGACATCAGCAAGTGGGAGGATGGGCACCCAAGTGGCTGGATTAGCGACCAAACAACAAGGAGCACCCCATACCCCCGTTAGTATAAATAGATGAATTAATCTCATTGTAAAGGGTTAGCATTTTGAGACTCAAAGCCTAGAATAGATTTATCTCTTTTGTTCTTGTATTAATCACTATTCCGATGTACCGTTCAGGAAGTCTTTGTGTAATCAGTAAATTGCTTGATACAAGTGGGCTCTTGAGCATTATTATTCTTCACCTTTTATATTTCCTTATACACTTGATTTACGATCCATTTCCAGAAATATCCAAAGTTTGTGTTGGGCTTTCGGATCTACGGGACTTAACCTCAATATATATATATATATATATATATATATATATATATATATATATATATATATATATATATATATATATATATATATATATAGGGAAGAGTTCAAATAAAAAGACTTCTTCCCGTGCAAAGTGCGAAGATATGCACTTTTGCATGTTTCGCTTGCACTTTTGCGTGTTTCTGTTGCACTTTTTCGCGGTAACGAAAAAGTGCAACATATTTACGAAATTGCCATCGTGATTTTGGTCGAATTTTGTGCATTTTTGGCTCATTTTCAGCCATTAGATGTAGAAATGAATGCACAAGATTCATTCTCACCTATATATATATATCATTTGATCCTTATTATATATAAGAGATCAAATACAAATCATGCTTAAAATACTAACCTACAAACTCATTAATATGCATCACTTTATACTTCAATATGCAGTAAAAATAATGTAAAGATGCAGGGGTGTGATCACATACAAACTAGTCCTTCCATTCAAATCATCTTTACATTATTTGTATTGCACGTTGAAGTTCAAAGTGTATTAGCTCTCCGGGAAAAAACAATGGCTACGGTTGGAGGCATTTCCGGTGAGAAGGATCAGAACAGCCTAGATTTCGAAGATCATGCTAAGTTTGCCGTCTCCGAGCAGAATAAGAAAGAGAATTCCAATTTGAAGTTTGAGAAAGTGGTGAGTGTGAAGCAGCAGGTGGTCGCTGGGACGATTCACCATATAATGCTGGAGGCAACTGATAAGGGTACTAATCACAAAAAGGTTTATGAAGCTAAGGTCTGGGAGAAGCCATGGATGGACTTCAAGAAATTGCAAGATTTCAAAGCCATTGGTGAAGCCCCTACTTCTTCTTAGTTTAACGCTTTGCTACTGAAACCATTTTCTGGAGTGGTGCTAATAATAATCTTGGACAATGAAGTGTTTTGTTGTTATGTTATTAACTTTGCTATTCTGAGTAACAGTAATAGTAATAAATATACATTTTAAAGAGATTATGTGTCAATGTATGAACCATGATGATGAATAGTATAACATTAATGGTTGTCTTTCAAGTTTCACCTCTTAAAAAAATGAAGTTCAAAGTGTTTCATATTATTCAAGTCATAAAATAGCAGTTTCATATTTACATTATTTGTATTGCATATTGAAAATCAAAGAGTGCATCTTTACATTATTTGTACTGCATATTGAACTTCAAAGTGTTGCATATTATTGAGTTTGTAGGTTAGTAAGTTAAACATGGTTTGTATGTGATCTCACCCTATACACACATACACATACACACACTAGTATTGTACTCGTGGCCAATAATATATTTGTGTTTATGTTTTTTAGTTGTCTAAATATGGTCATTAGAATGGAAGTACGTAATTTAGATAAAAATAAAAGTATACATAATTCACTAATAATTAACAAAATTATTTTAAATAATAACTTAACTTGTAGATTTATACAACATAATTTATAACTATTTGACTACAACAATCCAATTAATCTATAACTAATAATTTTATAAACACAATTTATATTGTTTTATTAGTTATTACATAATCTATTTTATGAATTAACTAAAATTTTAATAAGAAAATAAAAATATGAATCATAACCGAATGAGATTGGAACATGAATCACCGGAGTACTATGCAGTTCTTGTTCCGATTTCCCTGAATTTGAGATCGTGAATAAGCTCTTTGGTTCTCACTCTGGTTCGATAGTGTGGGTGCATTAGTGTATAACACAATGGCAGGCTCGTATCATTTGTACTTTTATTAAATAAAAACTAAAATTACAAAGCAAATGTCTCAAACTCCGTATATTAAATACTAAAGTTTCAAAATGTAAGTAGATAAATAAATATATAAATAAATCAATGAATAAAAAAAATACTAAATAGGAACGTTCTCTAACTATACATTCATACACAACTTGACTGGGACTACTTGTTCAAGAACATATAATAAACGTATGTATATCTCGAAAATGAACCTTTTATTCATGTCTTTAATCGTTTATTTTTCGTTTGAAGGAATGTATGCATGATTTTAATTTTTTTCTTATCTTAATATGTAAACCATCAATATATACAAATATCTATATCTATACATATCAGTACCTTTGCCATTGATTTATATACGTGAAGCATTTTGTTAAGGAATTGAATCAAGACTTTTTTCTTATTTTAATATGTAAACCATCAATATGTATAAATATCTATATCCATACATGACAACAGCTTTTCTACCGAATACCGATTTATATACGTGAAGTAGGTACGTTTGTTATAAATATTTCACGTGGTTATTAAAGGCATTGACTATCAATTGGGTTTAATACATGGTATCGGAATTACTTCTAACGTAATGTATTCTTAAAGAGGCGAACATTTAGGATTTTAGGTTATTAGTTTTCACTTGAAAGTTTTACGGAATGTGCATGAATGAATATAAAGATACTACGTATATGATTATAGTATTATACATTTGAATGATTTGCCGGAAATCTCAGTTCATCACACCAGAGAACCACCTTCCAACTGACAATTTGAACACTCAACTCAAAATTTACAAGAAAACCCAGAAAAACAAAAAGCGCCACAGTATGAGGACTAGATCTCAGACCAAACAATTTCCATGGGCCTTGTAATTTGCTTTGTTTTATTCCATTTTAGTTCTCTTGTATTTTTCTTTTTCTGTATTGTTTCTTTATCTTTTCTTTGTACCCTTCATTATTTTCAATAAAATCTTTCCTTTCTAAAAAAAAAGAACATATTTCCCATAGTAGGAGGCATACAATTAGCGCTTGATCAATATGCCCAGTTGGATATATAATCGATTCGTGTTTGACTTTGTTATTTGTTTGATGTCTTCACAACTTAATTGCAAAGGAAATCTACTCTACATGAGTCATATCTTAGTTTAAATTTGGATACCTTAACACCATATGAAATGAATACCCAAACAATTTTCGATAGTCTTCTTCAGCATGTTCACAAGACATGATATGATAGGATGAACCCAAACTTCAAAGATCATTTCTTACTTGATATGTTGAAATTGTGATAATGCAATCGTATTAAAAAAACTCTTCATTGCATTCTACAAATTGCAACAAAAATAAATTGTAAGTACGTAGTACTAACCTACAATTATAATTGAATTGTGTGTCGAGGGCCTAAATTGAGATAGAAGCCCCCCGAGATCTCAACAATATTTGCACTTCTCGCTCTGGTCTTTGGTTCTTCGGTTCAGGTGTTTCGAACAGGTTGAGGGAAGACAATTGGCACTCGACGAGATTCTGGTGGAAAAGTTCTCGAAAGGTTTTGTCGCGCTTATAGGAAAGCAGGTCAGAGAGGTTGAAGATGATTGACTTGAGGTTTTCGAGTGGAGCTTCATGATAAAGGAGTAGATCGATTTGACTGGCTCTTGTGAGGAAAGTTCCTGCAGGATAACATCACGCCTCTTTGCATCCCTCCGGAGATCTATTAATTTGTCCTAGAGTCTTAGATACACAGTCGCCCATCTCTCAGGCTCATCGTTCTTGTGTGTAAACGACTACAGAGCATAAATGAAACATAAAAGTTGTGCACAACTATTTTCCAAGAGGCGAGAAAGTGTATGCCTATTTGAGTGGCAACAGTTGCAAAGAGTTTCCACTCTCTTTTTTTCCTCGAATTCAGCAGCAAGTGCTATACGTGCACAACACATGGTAAACATATTCCAGTTGCGGGAACAATTGATGCCATACGATCCCATTGTTATATATATAAAGATATATTGATATATTATAAGATCAAAGAATTTATGATTTATTGTATAGTATACACTTATATGTATGTTGAAATATATTTGTAGTATAATTTAAGAAAAAGTATGTATATACTTATATATTAAGCGGGCCGGGGCGGAGCGGGGCGGCACGAGTCAATACTAATACCCGGATGCGCCCCATTTAGACCTGTGCAAAATCGGCCTGGCCCGCCCGGCCCGCCCGCACAAATAGACGGACTTGGGCATATAAATTTACCCACCGGCCCGGCCCGAGCCCGACCCACAATAAGATATGGGCGGGTCTGGGTTAGGATGTAGGCCCGTTCGGGCCGATAAGCCCGACCCGCTACATTTAGTATATATAAATATATGTATTTATATATGTACTAATTTATTTATTTATTTACATATACACATGTATATTTATATTTACTAATTTTTATTTATACATATTTATAGTTTATTATGTTTAAATTTAAATTTTAAGTTCATAATAACTAGCCCAACCAATATAATATCTATTTTTGTACTTAAAGATAATACTTTGTGCTTAAATTTAAAATTTTAGATATAATTTCTCATTATTGTTTTTGTGTAAGTATTTTTTTTGTATGCGGTGAAAGACCTATAAACATTATAAGCGTATTAACAATTCTTTAATTGTTGTAATATTATTTTTAAAGTATTAAAAAAATCATATAATTTTGAAAAAATTAAAGTTTTCCCGGGCTGGCGGCCCGGTGGACTACCCGGCCCGCTCTTATGGGCGGGCATGGACATGGGGTTAGGCCCGTTTTTGCGGGCCGGACCAGGCCCGCCCACACATGATGGACAAAAAAATTATAAAAAACCCGGCCCGAACTCGTTTTTGTACAAGTCTAGCCCCGTTTTATAGGCGGGGCGGACCTGCCCCATTTGCACGACGAGGCGGGCCAGACCCGCCCGGGTACGGGCTGGTCATTTCTGTCCTGGTTTTTTGACATCCCTACGCCCGAATGCCCGATCATCCTCGCTGACCTACGGGTTGCTACCTCAATCCCTCATCGTCGTCATCGGTAATCGTCGATCGACCATCCTCATCTTCCTCTAAGATTCGACGTGTGCGGCTGACCGGCTGCTCCGACCTCTTCGTCCAATCGCCTGTTCCCCATCACTTCAGCCGCTTGAGAAGTTCCCCTTCCGGCTCCCTGTCTGCGTCGGCTGCGCAGTGCGCCGTGATCGGCATCTTGCTGACTCTTAGTGACTGAGTCTCTACCTGACTGCCTCGCTGGTCGCTGGTTTCCTATTTGCAGGAATGTATTTCAATTTTTCAGTATTTTACGTTCAGTTTTGTTGTAATTTATTTAGTTCAGATTCTTTCTGGAATTTAAGGTATGGATTTTCCGATTTTCAGGAAAGGAATTTGAGTATTCGACTGTTTTTGTGGTATTCTAACTGTTTTTTCAGTCTTTTAGATTGATGGCTTGCTGATTGCTGCCCTAGTTATTTTCTGTTGGCTTTTACTCTTTCTATGGCTTGCTAAGTTGCTGCCCTTGTATGGTTTTTGTGTTGTCTTTCACTCTTTCTTGCTTTAGCATATCTGCCAATGTACACATTTACAATTTACATTTAGTAATAATGTAAACCTTTCTTGTGATTTTTACATATTGTTTAGTTGTTGTTAGTCTCATTGGTTTGAATTCAGGAAATGAAAACTGGTTTATAGAGAGATACTTTAACTCTGTAGAAGTAGGAGCTAATGAAGGTAGCTCCCCCAGAATTATACTGCACTCTAGTACAGTTGAAGAAAACTTCAAATAGAAATGAAGACAAAATAACATAAATGAATACAAATATTTTGCACTCAGTTTTGACTAAAAATCTTATTCTGATAAAACACTTGTATTTTTTATTTTTGTATTTTACTTATTTGTTGCAATTGATGTTATTTATACATTAAAACCTGCCCCCCACTGGATCCTAAAGCTAGACCCTCTGCTAATAGAGGAGCTCCCTGATATCTGCTTGGCTTCAATCTGTTCTCACTATCCCCCACCGCTATTTGATGTCCGATTCCTCCTCATAGCCGCTCAAACCTTGATTGTGCTGTGTGCAGGTCTAGCTCAGAAGGTAGAATTAATTATATTTACGGTTTTACCTTTTCCATCAATAACCTCTTGTCCACCTTTTTCTCCGTGTCTAATTTAGGGGTTATAATGAAAGTTGATGTTTATTTTTGAATTATTGAATTATTGAAGGATTTCACTCCCCGTGTATTTTCAGAACAAATATAACTTTTCTACACTTATTTTTGGAATTTGGAAATTCTTATAAGTTTTTTTTCTAAGCTCTTAAAATCATTCATACACACATATCATTTAGATTTAGACTTCTTTAGAGTAATTGTTTTGAAGTGTTTTGTGCTTTCGTGTTTTTTGGTTACATCCACTTAGCTTTGGTGTCATTGTTTTTGGAAGACTTGAAATTTGTGTTATTGTCCTTCTTGAACCTTCTTTTTATCATGATATTTTGTTCCTTGAATTATTTCACACACACATTATACATTATACATTATACATTATACATTATACATTATACATTATACATTATACATTATACATTATACGTTATACATTATACATTATATGAGTGTATATATCTATGTGCTCTTTGTTTGTAGCTTATTTTTGAATTCTTATTAATTTATTTGTAAACATATATTCCATAAACTAAAGCCAGATGTTGAATTGAAAATCAGCAGAGTGGGAAATCTAATACAATAGGTGCTATGTTTTTATTTTTGCTAGTTTACATCAACAATCTTGAAGATTTTAAGACCAAACATAAAGGCATTTTCTTCTTGATGAATAATGTACAATTTGTAGATTTCATATTTTTTTTACTCCAAGGGTTCTTTGGTGGTTCTCATTTTGCAAAACTTTGCTACTATTTATAGGGGGAGTTTATGGTGTTTTTGTGCCTCCACATTTATGGTATGTCAGTATGTGATATCATAGCCTAGCACATAGCTCAAGAAGCAGCTGCGTGATATCACACAGAACATGGCCGTCTTGTTTTTTCACTATTATTCATGTTTTTGTGGTTTTTTCACTAGGTTAAGGGGTATTTAGTCCCATGAAGCTTTTAGGCGGGACACTGTAGGAAATTTCTTTTGCTTTTATATAATAATAAATAGGTGGATTATGGTCTTCCGTTTCAAGCGTTTTATATCTTGTTAGAAAGTTAATATCGAGTTCTAAAACTCGTATTCAGACTTCATTTGCAAAATATTAGAGGATTGGTATGTGCTTTCTTTTCGAGCATTTTATATCTTATTGGAAAGAGCATAACGAGTTTTAAAATCATATTCAGACTTCATTTACAAATATTAAAGGATATGTGGATCTGTGTAATTATCCCCGGAATTAAGTTTTTTTGGTTATTCTAAAAAAATAACCTCCTATAGTAGGTCATATGCTATAGACTATATAGATTAATGGAATATAAATAGGTACTCTTTTCTAAAGTTGGTTTTCCTGTTTTTTTTCATTTTTCATTTCTTCCTCCATGTCTCTAATAGACACACAATTTTATTGCTTCAGGTTTCATTTTGGCAAAGAGGATCATGAATATCACAACACTATTCAGGAGGTTAAATCTCAGAGATTTGGTATCAAGTCCATCTCTCTACAGTTGTGGCAAGGGTATGAATCTCTCATGATGTCTTATGATCCTTCTGTTGAAGGGATTTTTTTAATTCGTAATAATGTTTACATGGAGTAGTACTTTCTTTTTCATGACTTAGATGCATCCGGAGAGGGACTGAGCTTAGTACTAAGGCGTTGGGCTACTAAGAAGACAGCAGGATCCACAAAAAATGGGCGTGACTCAAAACCTAAGAATCTCGGGGTGAAGAAATTTGGCGGAGAGGTGAGAATTTCATTATGGAAAAGAATGGAGATTGATTAGATTATTGCCGACAATGTTCGGGCTGGAATGGTTCAGATGCAAGCCCTTTTTTCTGGTTTCACTTGAAATTCTCAAAATTTGGATCAGCTCGAAATAACAACTAATCAAACCCGCCGAAAGTTTTTTTAAAATAATGAAAATGTAGGTTGAGTTTTGGGCTTATCAAAATACCTCGAGCTCGAAACCTGAACCTTGTAGCGCAGTATATAATTTACAGATAACCATTTAAAACAATGGTTCATCATACATACTATCGGTATAATTTTGTCACTTCTGTATTTTACTGAACTATTATAAATTTTTTTACAAAGATGAAAATTTAATGAATTTTGAAATTTCGGGTTTTGATACACTGAATCTGAGATGCCCCAAAGTTTAGGGTCGGTTTTTGAGGTCTAAAATTGTGGTACGCCATACCCAACACACAAACTATCTTATCCATTTTATCTTGCCTTATTTTTTATTTTTCTTGTCCATCTTCTCTTTTTGGCTTTGATATCATGCACCAATTCATCTTACCCGACCCCTAAATCTTTTGGGAACAAGGCTGGGATGTTGTTGTTGTATACCCAACACCCCCCACCCCCTACCAGAAGATGTGTTTTGGTTGCTCAACTGCTATTTTGTTGCAGAGGGTGATTCCAGGGAATATCATTGTTCGCCAAAGAGGAACCAGATTCCATCCGGGGGATTATGTTGGAATTGGCAAAGACCACACGTTGTTCGCATTGAAAGAAGGGTGTGTCAAGTTTGAGCGAAACAAGCTGACTGGACGCAAGTGGGTCCACGTGTTGCCCAAAGACGGCCATGTGCTTCACCCCATATACTCATCCACGGCATCACCTCCTGAGCTGAAGACAGCTACTTAAGGTTATGTGAATGCGTGAAGTGACAATCTTTTAACGAGATTGTCATGATTTCTCTTTGACTGCTGTATTTTGTAATTGTGATTGGAGCAGCAATGCAAGGCTGCTCTGAATTCTATTGAATAATGGCAAATTTTGCACATAAGGATCAAGTAGTTATACCTCCTGTTTAGTTACAAGCTAAGCAAACTTAAACAGCAATAGGATGGATTATATCCAAACTACTTGATTTGAAAAACTTTCAAACTTATCACTAAAATAGCTAAGCAAACTTAAACAACAATTGGATGGATTATATCCAAACTTCTTGATTTGAAAAACTTTCAAACTTATCACTAAAATAAGAACGATGGACAAGAATGTGACCTCTATATCACTATATGTGCGCTTGTGCAATGACCCTTTCCTTAATGTGCAGTGACTTTTACCATTACAGTGACCCGTATTGATCATGTAATTATAATTTTGCCACTAACTTATGTTACAAACTTGCAATAATATTATATGAAATATCATGTTTTTTCAAATTTATCACCTTGTTAATAACAAGAATAAACTTACCATAATAATATACGAATAATATTTCATGGGACACTATAAAATTAACATAACACGAATAAAGTGAACCAAAATGGTAACAATTTATTTAACCACATGGGTATAATGCTCTTCAATTACGAAAAATGCTATCAGCTATCATTTGACAAATAGTTACTTTATTTATGCAATAACTATCGATGTACTCAAATAGAAACTATGTTCACGAGGTGACAATATACTTTCTTCTAAATTGAAAATGAGTTTTTCTTGTTGTACCCACCCCTTATTTTGTCTGTGTGTACAGACAAACACAGACAAAATGTTGTCTTGTTCTTAAAAATTGCCTGTGTGTACAAGCAAAATAAGGATTGTACAAAAGTGGATACAAAAGTGGTTACAAACCGATTTTTTTGATTGAAAATTAATATCCAAATCAACAAGGGAAGCACAAAGTTTTGATGGTGTGGGAGTGGTATGTCCTAGTTGGATCCACGTCGAGTGGTAGGCTGGTGGCTATAATGATCCAGATTCCAGATATTCTAGATATTGGGCGTACTAATATTGCATTTTTCAACCAAAATATTAGAACAATATTTAGTGTACAGTGTACATCTTTTTTACGTATACCGTGGGATCAACCCACGGTGAGCATGGTGCTCCACTCTCAAAACGACGTAGCTTTTCACATTTTTTTTAAAAATTCGCGTGAACGGTACACGCGTGAACAATACACACGTGTACAATAACTTTTTTTTTGTCCCAGTAGCATGAATGGTGTAACTCGCGAGTAAAGATATGTAACTTACGTTTTTTATTAATGTAATTAAATTGCATTCAAAATGTAACTTGTCAAATACATATTATTAGAAATACAATATTGATTTCAATGTAAACAATGAAAAAAAGAGTCTAATTTCACAATTGCTTTAGCTAAATCGTGAATATGTTTTGTTTTTAATATCATGACCATAAAAAATAATTATTTAAAAAGATTTTTTTGTTTCAATAACAGGGGTTGATTTTTTAATGTAACTCATGTTATTACAAATGTAACTCGTGTTGATGGCAAATATAACTTAGATGTATACAGAATGTAACTTGTTGAAAAATTGAACAATTTTTTTTTGTGTGTTTGAGAATAATATATACTATCTTCGTCCCTTAAAACTTTGTCAAAGTTGACCGACACGGAGAATAATAAAGTAAAAACTGTATGGTTGAGCTTTGTGCAGAGGAGAGAGAAATAACAAAAACCACAAAATAATTGATTAAAAGGGAAAGTGACAAAGGTTTTTGGGACGTCCCAAAAAGGAAAGATGACAAAGTTTTAAGGGATGAAGAGAGTATGTCATAAACATTGATTTCAATGAAAACAATGAAAAATTGATCCTAATAGCTTAATTACTTTTTTTAAATAATGAATATGTTTTATGTTTAATATTAAGACTATAAAAATGATATAGCAGGGTTTATTGCGTGGTGTAACTCACATACATTAAGATGTAACTCGCGTATATATATTAAGATGTAACTCACGTACAATAAGATGTAACTCACGCAGAAGAAGATGTAACTTCATGATAAAAATAAACAAACTTCAAAATATATAAAAGTGATAAAAAAGTTATAAAAAGTTTGTCCATATAAAAAATATAACAAAATGTGTATGCATATAAAAAGTATATTACACAAAAATATATGAATATAAAAATTAATACAAAACAAAAATAGTGTATGAATATTAATTGCAATATACTTATTTTATTTAGATTAATAAACTTTTTTGTATGCATTGATAAAGAATAAAAAAATAGAAAAGAATTATGAAATTATGAAATACTATGTACAATATACTTATTTATGTGGATTAATAAAATTTTGTAAAAATTATGTAAAGAAAAAATGTAAATTCAATTATATTTTAATTAGTTAAAGATAAAGATAAGTAAAATCACAAATAATATTTTAGTATTTTGATGTAAAAGAGAAAAGAAATGAAGAAAATAGAAAGAAATAAAGAAAGAAAGCACTAACTAGATGAAAAAGAAAGAAAGCATAGAGGAAAAAGAAAGCTTCCGTAATGAGTTTAGGGAGGGGGGAAAGGACACTGTGTTAGGACCGGCATACAATTCTCATGGTATACCGGTTGCACGGTATAATTTGCCCCTTTTTTGCACACACTATTTTACATGTCAAATGAATTGTCTATATACAGATAAAAAACTTTCTTCGGAGCAAAATGCAATTTTCACACCGACAAATAAATGACTACTTTTACATGCGAACATTATTGACAAGGTGATAAATTTGATACGAACATGATGTCACTACCATATTTCGTACTACGTATAACATTATTGTAAGTTTATAACATAAGTTAGTGGTACATTCAAAAAATAATATCCCGTGAAATCGGCATGGTAATTAGATTAGTTTGGTAGTCGAGTACTATAAAAACGGGTGATTTACAAAATTTAAGCCCATTTGATAACCATATTTTTTGATTTATCAGGCTTAGTCAACTTTTCATCAAACATGTAACTTTTGATTTTGCGTGCCGAATTATGAGGAGATTTCAACAAGTAGGACCTAATCATACTATTTTTCCAAAATTAAGACTACATATTAGCGTAAGACTTAAGTGCAACTCCTTTGAAAAATTCCGTAGCAGACCACATCTGAATGGATTTCCTTTGAAACACAAGCCTCACCTTCTCTTCTCACTCATTTTTAGCTCCGCATGTGACTCCAAAACAGAAAGCATCTATGTCAGCTTCAGCTTCGGTTCACGGCATAAGAGAGGGAAGCAGGTGGACCATCCAGAGCCGGTGGAGGAGCAGGGTTCCGGTGGAATCGAGGATCAATGACGTTGTTCATTGAGAACTTGCAAACACCAGACAATACATAGACAGAGGTTTCTTCTTCTTCCTCTTCTTCTTCTTCTTCTTCTTCTTCTTCTTCTTTTCTGATTTTGGACATTGAGTTTGTCAATTTCGAACTTCTATTTTATATTTTCACAAGGCCACCGGGTACTCTGCAAAACTTTTGAAGAAACCAGATCCAAAATCAAACTTGCAAACACTAGACAATATATAGACATCAAGTAGTCAGTAAACAGACAATAAGTTTTAAACATAGCTCAATAGTAGACAATACATAGGCAACAAGTGGTCATTAAACAGACAATAAGTTCTGATATTAGTTCAATAGAAGAGCAGGAAACATAAAAATGGTTCAATAGCAGAGCAGGTAACGTAAAACTGGGAGGACATTGAACTTGACCTTGAATTTGGGAGAAAGGGGCTTATTAGAATCATCTCAGGGAGGATTTTGAACTTAAGTTCACGGAAATAGGGGGAATAGGGGAGGAGTCGCTGAAATCCGAATAGGAAGGGTAAGAGTAGTTTTACATGGTCGTGATTGCCGCAGAATTGATTTTTCGGCCTTTGTGTGTGTTTAGGGTTCTGGCGATGACGGGCGACGAGCTCTCTGGCGGCGATGAACATCGGAGAAAAGGATGACGGTGATCCTGCGGAAGAAGCGTGATGCCGGAGAAGAAGCGTGAGGGCCGAAGCGTGAGGGAGAAGATGCACAAAAGTTTAGAGGTCGAAGCTGAAGGGTAAAATTGGAAGGAAAAAATCGAGTTTCCTCAAATAGAATTAAGTAAATCACACGGATGGAAAAAACATGACCATGTCCTATTTTTGTAAACTTGCATTGATTTAGTCTTACAAAGAACAATTTTCTCCGAATTATGTTATAAAAAAGTAAGATTGTGTTGTAGTTACTTTTCTGATTGTGTTGACTGATCATTTAATATTTTTTCATAAAGCAAATATAATCAACCAATTCAACTACTTCAGTCTGAACTCTATAAATTTCAGCAGAATCAACTCATACAACCGATTTATATATTACGAAACGGGCTATTAGTCTTTCATTCCTAATTAAATTAAACGCTTTTCTTTTTCGGATATCCCTAAATAAGTCTCATTTCTTTATTTGGTAAATAAATTTATAGCAATTTACTCTGGTACACTTGGATAATAGTGACAGCATAGTACAAAATAATCTATTATACAGTACAATTTACACGATAGTGAAAGAGGCATTTCAGGAGGTCAAAAAATATTATTTTATGGATATGCATGCTAAGTCAAACCCGTATTTTTATATATGGACAGGAGAGTATTTAGGGAGTGTTTGGAACCGATTTTGATTCTTCTTCTTTTTTAAAGCAGAAGCAGAATCAGAATCAGTTTTCAAAAGTTGGTCACCCCCAGTTTCTAAAAAAACTGATTCTAAGAGTAAATTAGAGCACTAGAATCACTTCTACACTTTTATCCAAACACTCCAACTTCTGTTTCTGCTCCCTGAAGGAGCAGAAGCAGTTTTAAGAATCAAATCCAAACACCCCCTTACTCGTATTTGAAAAGCAATAGGTCCATTGCTTCCCAGTTCACCATCTCGATCAACCCAAAATGTTTTCTTGTCTTTCCATGATTATACTCTCTCTTCCGAAAAGGTTCGTCAAATTGACTTTTTTCTCTCTTCCGAAAAGGTTCGTTAAATTGACTTTTTTCGATCAATGCCAATCAACTATGATCAAATATATTTTTTAATACAAAATTATTTTGAATATGAAAGTTATATCAAAATGTTCCTTATTCGAAATATTTTCATAAGTTAAAAATTTATAAATTACATA